TTCTTATAATTTAAAAATAAATGCTGCAAAAAAGTAATTCTTATTTTCAAATATTATTATACCAAATTTTATTTAAAATATTTTAGTTTTTTAAAAAAGTAGATCAGAGCTAAAAAAGTGCAAAAACACAAGCAAATTTGCTTGTATTCTACTACAATCTAAGGGATAGATATGATGAAATAAATATAATCTTTTCTAATTTTATGCAATTAATGAAGTCATAATTAAGAAATGAATTTTTAATTTATAGCAAAAGACAAGTAGAATTAAAATTTTTTATTAATGTATATTATATATAGTGATCTCATATTTAAAAAGTTTTTTAGTAAAATAGAAATTTTTAGTCTATTAGTTTAATCAGAAAGCAAGCTTTAAATTGCATAGGAGATTTCAAGTTCTTTGTTAAGTTCTAACCACCAAAGCTTCTTGATAGGCTTTTGTCTCAACTACTAAAGCTTGCCTTAGTCTTCTATATATGTTATAGAAATTATTATTTTGAATATTATCAGTAACAATATTTAATAAAGATTCAAAAATTTTTTTATCTTCTGCTAATTCAATTTTTCTGAATTCGATCAATTCATTACAATTATTAAAGCCTAATTTCATACTATGATTATTTTTGTCTATTAAATCTTTCAACTCATCTAAAGAAGTTTTAACTGATTCAATTCAAGGATTATTTTTAGGATTGATATTTGTAGTAATTTCTCCAAACCAAATAAGAGGATAGTCATGCCTTCTTCTTATCATTGCATATTGAGGAAAAAATCCTGAACTATAATCTATATATTTTTTAACAAGTTGCTTACATATGAAATATGGATTATTAATAAATGCAAGGCATGAACAGATCCAATTATTAATATCTGTGAAATATTTATTTTCTGAATTAATATTCTTATTTAATGCAGTTTTCTATTCATTTTTAAACATTTCCCATCAGGAAAAAAAGGTACACTTATTATAATATTTATGCCAAATACTTATTTGATCTGGAATCAAGTATCTTATTAAAATCTGAGTTAAGTGATTCAAGTAAGAACAATTACAAGTATATTTGTAGTCATGTTTTAAAACTCGCCAGTGAGATTCTACTAGCATTGTTGTTTTTGTTAATAGAATCACACTTGAAAAAAAAGCCTGAGCAAAGAGACACCAATTAGATTTATTATATCAATTAGTTTATAAGTACTCCCACAAGTGAACAAAATTTTTACTTTTACAATATTCATATATTTCTTTAACACTTTCATAGTAAATTTCTGCTGAAGTAAGAAAGGTATTTTTATTAATTAGTATAAGTAGATATAAAATAGAATGTCTATAAACCATGTCTAAATTTCTTTTATATTTTGATCTGAGTATGAAATATTATCATCATCTTTAGAGATCTAGTACATATCGATAAAATTAAATTGTTCATTTGTCTCTTTAGCTTTTTGTGCTAAATAGTTATTTAATTTATTTTTTTTTCTTTTAATTTTCTACTAATTGCATGCTTAATGTGCCATAGGCACAGTTGAATTTTTATTTTAAAGGACCATGCTTCTTGTACAGCCATTATCTATCCTGTATTCTTATTCATAACAACAAAAATAAATAGAATATCTTCATTTCTTAATACTAAAAAGAATTCTCTAAGAACTTTTAATCTTGAATGAATCTTATTTTTAAAATCTTTAAGAAGATCATTTGAAGCTATGAAAGTATCTATATACAAATAGGCTAAAGGAACACTATATCCATGGTAATTTACTAATACTGAAAATAACTCAAATTTTTGCTGATTAGTTTTATATGTTGAGTCTATAATAATTTTATTTATATTAGTTTTTTTAATATATATATTAAAAAGTATAAGAAATCCTAATGTTTGTATGAAGTTATTTTCAATATACAATATAACTTTGAATCCTTTGTTAATTAATTCACTTTGGTTTAAAAAATTTAAAGAAAAAAGAAGTTGATTGGATGAATTAGTAAGATATTGCTGAGCAGAAAATTTTAAATACTAATAATAAACCTGATTATAAGTATATATTTTTGAATCAATAAGCTTTTCTTCGCAAAGTCTTTTATAGATTTCTATTTTTCTAAAATTTTGATTTATATTTTTTGATATTCATTTGATTACACTTTTTGATAATTTATTTTCATAATAAGCTAGTTTTATATAAGGAATTAAATATATAATTTCAATTTTAGCTTGGTATATATCAAAGTTAATATTGATTATAATTTTCTCATCACATAAAAATCGATTAATTGGAGGCCTTGCCTCATTCTTTTTACTGGTTAATTAGCTGAATAGTTATACTTTCGATCTATTTTTTGAGTACAGCCAAGATATACTGATGCTTGCTTAATATTATTTATATTAATATGAATTTTTCTAACTTTCTAATAGTAATAAGACCTAGCTTCAATAGGTAAAAGAAAAAATAGAACTATATTATAAATATAGGTTTCTTGAACATTATTTAATGTTTGAAAATTATCAATTAACTTATTTTCAAACTCAAAGATCTTTGAAAATTTGACTTCCTGATTATCTTCAAGATTTGTAAAATGTATAACAACTTGTTCTTCTAATTCAGATAAGTCATACAATATATTATTTTTATTCTCTTAAAGATATTCAAGCTGATTTAAAATTTCAGAAGATTTAACTTCTATTTCTTTAGTTTCAGATTTTGAAAAGGCATTCCACTTCTGTTTTGCACAATCATTGCAATTAGAATATTTTTTTTCAGTATCTTCACAATCTCTATAAGATCTAATAAATTCATTTAATGTTTTTTGTTTTTCACAGTGAAAGCATGATTCAGTTTGAGAATTATTAGTAATATTAAATAGTTTGTTTAAATGGGCCATTATTTAATAAATATCTTTATATGTTATTAATTAAATTAATCAAAGCTATTTATATATTTTTAACTTATAAACAATTTATAACTATTTTATTAAATAAGCATTATTTATTTAATACAAATAAAAGTAAGAATTACTACTTGAAACCTTACAATTTTTTTTTTAATATTTTGATTTGCTATACTTCATAAATATTATTGTTAGTTTCTTTTTTTTTACTTTAGTAGTTATTTTACTTTAATATTATATTTTACTATTATGACTACTTAATTTATTTTTATTTTTAATACATGTATTAATATTTTTGCTATTCATATCTTCATATATAATGTTTGAATCTAGTTTCAAAACTTTCAAATTCACCTTATCACAAAATAAGTTAATGATATTTTAGATTCATATTTGATTGTGATTACTAATTATATAATATCAGAAAGCTTGTAACTAGGATTAAAAATTGCACAAAAGGTAAAATAATAAAATAGAGTTATTAATAATAATTGTCTATTTGATATAGGTTTGATTTTATAAAAAGCATCCTAATTATTATTTTGATAAGAAAGATTATTCTTATAAGCTTTTTTTTATATATAGCATAACAAAATTAAATATATATTACATTATGCAGTTAAGATTGAATAAAGTTAAAATTATTTTATTTCAATTTAGTTATTGCAATTATTTTTCTATAAGGTTTTATTTTTTTGTTAATATAAAATAAATTTTATAACACTTGCAATTTTTATTGCAAATACTTTTTATAAAGTTTTACTTCTATTTTATAAGGTTTTATGCATTAATTATTATTTTTTTTAGTAATATGTATAAATTATGCAAAAATCATTTGATTATTTGGCATAGATCTGATTTATTAAAGTTAAATTTTTGCTATATATAAATCATAAATTTATTAATAACACAATTAGTCATACAACAAAATAATATATACATATATATTGATGTTTGTATTATATATATTAGATATATATGTATTAGTATTATTAAATAGTAGTAACAGTATGTAATTATTTAATTATGTGAACTTTACAGCCAATCATAAATCGGATCATTATCATGTGATTGTCGATTTCATTCGCTATCACTAATCTACTAGATCTAGGTATCATTATGGCTGAACTAATACTTGCGGTCAGGGCTAACCATTAAATTGCTATACTTTTGTAGAGTTTACTTAGACCTCAGCATCTACTTTACAGCATAACCCTAGTACTTTAGTATATCTCTGTCTTTTCATCTGCCTTTTTACCAAACTCCCAATTCAGATAGCCTGTGTAGAACTATGACTAGTCCATCGATATATCAGGTCAGTTCGATATTCTTTTCCTTCAGTTCATTTCGATGGCCTGATTGATAATACCTATGAGACTTTCTAACTTAGAGGTTTTTGCCCATCTGGTTACTATGACCAGATACTACAACCTTGGTATCTGTTTTTCCAGACTAGCATTTACAGTAGGGCCATTGAAGATCCAGCTACTTCTTTACTTAGGTCTTCCTAAATGGACTTCTTGTTATCCAATTTCAATAGATTTATATAGCTACAAGGACTTATCTAGTGTTTGCACCACCTGATTTGTTGGTTTGCATTCTTTTGTATAATGTCATACTTATACAGATGCCCCATGATCTACAAGTTATGCTAGTGCAACCATCATTACAGATATTCTAACTCAATTATTAGTAACAGTTGCCATAATACAAATATTACATAAGTGATTATCCAAATTTTTACCATTGATAGGATTTGAACACCCAACTTACCACTTGGAGGTTAACAATCTGACTATTTTACTAAAGTGCCACACCTTGTTACAACATTTTACAATATATATAATATATATATAATATATATATTATATTCATTATAAATAAGAACTTTAGAGAATGATAATCCTAGTGTAGTGATTGGGTTGTCATCCTCCAAGCAGTAGGTCCAATGTTCAATTCCTATTGGTGACAGATTTTGAAAAAATAACCTATTTTGGCAAACTTATTTGTGATCTGGGGTTTGTAGATCCCTGTAATTCTGGTTATACCAAAACTAACTTTAGAAGTATGCAATGTTACACAAATAAATTTAGAAAGTATATACTCAGATTAGAAGTCTGCTTGAAAATCCCAAGTAGAGAGGTAGTACAACTTTTGACAGTGCTACTTGTGAAGTCTTAATCTACTAAAAGAAACCTAGAGCAGGTGATCTGTACAGGCAAAAACCTCTAGGTAGAGGGTTCACCAACCTGGCTACTGATTGATCTGAGCATGAAGTCACATCATACAGGGCTAACTAGATTGGTAGTATAGAAAGACTTGCAAGGGTAGACAAGGTAATGGTAAGGTTGTAAAAGGAGAGTACTGAGGTTGTATGAACTTCATAAGGGTTGTAAACTAGGTTTAGCTGTAATTTGGAATACAGAAGGCTCTAGTAATGATGTCTTGTAAATAATCTGTATGAAATAAGACAAGAGTTCTAAGAGTATAGGTAAGCATCTAGAACTTTTCGACTAACATCAAGTAATGAAGATGTTTTAGTAATAACAGTAAGAATTGCAATATAGAAGGTTTAAATAGGCAATACCTGTAGTTGGGTTGCAGGTATGATAGCTAGTATAAAACCTATATATAGGCAGACTACTTAAATTAGACACCAAAAGTGTATGTGTAGCTAGATGTACTCTCTAATGTAAGGTAGCTCCTTTAAGATAATTAGACCGTGAGTTATCATGTCCTACAATACTAAATAAAAAAGCTCTAGTCCCCAAAAGACTAATTTAAAAAATATATATATATATATAAGAACTACTATAGCAAAAAGAGGCATTGAAACATTTTAAATTTCACTATTTAGAAAAGTATATCTTATAATTTAGTAATTAGAATTAAATAATTTTTATATTATTAAATTTATCTTATTGAGAAGAATTAAATAATATAAAAATTATTTAATTCTAATTACTAGAACATGAGATATAGTTATTTACATAGTAAAAGTTAAAATGTTTTAATGCTTCTTTTTGCTATGAGAATCCTATATATATATTATATATATATAATCTGATTTCTAATTAGATTCTTTACTCTTTAAAAAATCAGATAATAAATGTCACTACTCTTATAATTATATGTCTATATTAGACTTTTAAAAATTATAAACTATACTAAATAGGCAAACCACTTAATTATCTGTTATCTTATTTTATACAATACTAATGACTTTAAAACTAACACAAATAGTAATTATAAAATCTTAATTTTCTCTTGGTTTTTTTTCTTATACTCATTCTGGCAAACAATGTTTTGCAACTAAAACTTAAAAAAGAATATTTTTTTACAAAAAAATAAATAAAGAACTTTGGCAATTATATACTGATCAAGTGGCTACTAATCTTAGTTCTAATTATACACCTGTTAATACAACAGAATTCTTAAAAAACAACATGGCACAAAATTCAAACCAATGTTATCTCAGCTGCTCTTAAACATATTTTCAACAAAAAAGTTACAATGCATAACTTTTAACACATATATTTTGCCAAAGCTTTCTTTTTACATCATATCTTTAAAAAGCTAGAAAATATAATTTAACAAATTAAAGCCTTATTATGAAACTAAACATCTATATCTACACAACTTAATAATATAATTCAACAACTTAATAATGCTAATAATCTTACTATTTTTTCCTTATCAACCAGACATAATCTACTAACTAACTGGATCTCAAATGCTAATAGCAAGTGAAAAGCATTTTTTTATGCAAAAATATTAAAATAATAGACAACAAATTAATGAAAATATAGCCAAAAGATGTAATAAACTTTAGTCTTAACCAAAATTAATAATTAACAGTATATTAAATTGTTACAAAAACTCTGTAAAGTTTGATAACATCAAAACAGATCATGATATTGTTACAGAAGTACAGAAAATTAAAACATATATCTAATAACATTTCAATTAATAGATAGCATATAGAAAAATTAATTAACAAATTTACAACTCTTCCTAATACAATGAATATCAACCTAAAACAAAAACATTTATTCAGAATAGTATTAAGAGGTACTAGCAGAATTTTCTAAAAAAGAAATTATTAACATATTTGCAAAACTTTCAAATAATAAAGCTTATAGCCTCTTAGACATAAGTTATAAAATATTTAAACATGCTGGTTTATTGTTTTTTCAAGCTATAAATGTCCTATTTAATAGATGCATTTTAACTAACAGTATACACAAACAATAAAAAGAAGAAAGAAACTTTCTTATTTCTAAAACATCTATCTTTAATGAAAGTTTAACTAATACAAGACCTATTAGTCTTTTAGAACATATTAAAAAATTATATATTAAACTCTTTACCAATTGCTTAAACACTATTTTTACTTTACATCTAATACTATTTCCTTATAACTATATTGCTCTTTCTGATAACAGTACAGCAATACCAATCCATATACTTAACAATATAATTAAAGAAGCCTCTTGCAACTCCAAAGAACTTTAGTTCATATCTCAGGATATAAGCAAAGCTTATAACTCAGTAAACTTCGATCTCTTTTGCAAGTCTCTAATATGAATCAACATGTTATCTAAATTAGTAGAAGTTCTTACTAATTTACTTGATGATTGTCACAACTTAGTTATAACTAATTTTGAACTAACAGATTTATATTCTGTCAAAAATAAAATTGATTAAGAAAAAACAAAAACATCATTATTTTGGTATATTTATTATAACCCTCTTATTCACAAAATTATATCTCAATTTACAGGCTATACCTTTTCAACATTATGAAAAACTAGTCTATAATCTTTTTAACACCAATACTATCAAGACTCTATCTTAGCTCTCACTTATATAAATAATACATTATAGATTACTCAATTCAAAAATAAGTTAGAACAAATTATTCAAATAGCAGCATCCTTTTACTAAATGACTAATCTTCAGATTAATTTTATCAAGTCAATATTTGCCACAAA